CGGGTGAATACCTCTTTCCCCAAGGGCGGGCCGCCAACAGGGGCAAGCACAGGGGCAGTTGCCCATGGAGCGTGGCAATTCAGAGGCCCAGCCACCACTTCTATGATGGTAGTCAAGGAAGCCAGTGCCCCAGGCCCTATAAATCACACCAGAGCAGTTCTGAGGGATTGGCAGGTAGTCCTGAGAGCTGCCCAAGGCCTGGCCCCTTCTGGGGGCAAGGAGCCGGCCCCACACACCTTGTCTGGGCACCCACAGAAGCTTTCAGTCCCCCCGCCCATGGGGCAAATCCTTCAACTCTTGCTCAAGAGGTCTACTTGCCTCTGTAAGCACTACTGAGCAAGAACGAGCATTTCCTTAGTACACATGGTTGGTTTCTTCAGGGCTGTGTCTACACTGGCAAGTTATTCCAGAAAATCAGCTGCTTTTCCGGAAAAACTTGCCAGCTGTCTACACTGGCCACTTGAATTTCCGGAAAAGTACTGATGATCTCATGTAAAATCATCAGTGCTTTTCAGGAAAATCTATGCTGCTCCCGTTCGGGCAAAAGTCTTTTTCCGGAAAACTGTTCCGGAAAAGGGCCAGTGTCGACATCACAGTAGTGTTTTCTGCAAAAAAGCCCCGATCGCGAAAATGACGATCGGGGCTTTTTTGCGGAAAAGCATGTCTAGATTGGCCACGGATGCTTTTCCAGAAAAAGTGCTTTTCCAGAAAAGTGTCCTGCCAATCTAGACACACTTTTCCAAAAATGCTTTTAACGGAAAACTTTTCCGTTAAATGCATTTCCGGAAAATCATGCCAGTGTAGACGTAGCCCAGGTGTGTTCACTGGTGGAAGATCCTATGGAAAGATACTCAAGGCAAGAGATCCAAATATTTGTGCCTGTATTCCCACAACAAAACACCACAAAACATTTTACTAACAGGACACTTGTGGTCTTCCCGCTTGAAGTTCTGAGCCTAATGGGGCACCCAGGGATAAAGTCCCAAAGGTCTGAATGAGGCACAAATATTCATCCACAGATCCAGTGTTCATTGTTCATACGCACATCAGAACGACCAGGTTAGCTCATACCAAAGTTCCACCTAGCTCTGTAATCTGTCTGCCGACAGTGGCCAATGCCAGAGGTTGGTAGTGTCAACTGGTGTGTACGTGTCTTCTCTCTGAATGCTGTCCCAGTCTTATGCTGTTAGTTGGTTCGGCCGACTTCGATAGTGCTACCAAGAAAGACGACAGCCTTGGTTCGGTGGCGAAGGCACTCGGCCAGGTTTATTCTTGAAGAAGGACACACCAAGCACCGTGGTAACAGGTAACAGGTACATTAAGAATTCTGCTGACCGCAATGGTGACAGTCGAGTCGACATTAGGAGTCTCTGCGGCTCCCTTGGGCTAGACAAAATTCTCACCATCCCAAGATTTCCCTTTTATACGTTGATATGAAGAAGTTGCGTTAGGCACTTCTGACTACATGGATCACCAACCCGACGCATTGGGCCTGTAGGTTCAAATATAACGGGTGTTCATCATTCTGTCCTCTCAACCTCGTTTTACTTGGGACTGGTACATTCGAGGGGTTGTGTTTGTGCTGTGATGTGAGAACTTGATATGGTGGGGGGGGGGGGGGAGGACTGTGTTAGAGATGTACTCAGCGTGTAGAGTTATAGACTCGTAGAACACTAGAACTGGATAGGACCTCGAGAGGCCATCAAGACCAGTCTTCTGTCCTCGCTTTCCGTAGTATGACTTACACGTGGCTGGGTTCTAGTACATTAGCCTGACCTTTCCCAAGTTCATGGAGCTGCAGGACTCTCCTTAGGGTGTGTCTAGACTACCTAGTTTTGTCGACAAAAGTGGACTTTTGTTGACAAAACAATACCAGCGTCTACACTACCGCGGAGTTCTGTCGACATAACGTCGACAGAACTCCGCGGTTTTGTCGATGCTGGTATACCTCATTTTACGAGGCATAACACTTTCTGTCAACAGAACTCTGTCGACAGAAGGTGTTATTGCCTGTAACACTGCGTCCAGACTACGGAGTTCTGTCGACAAAGCGGCTTGCTTTGTCGACAGAACTCCATGTGTCTCAGTATCTGTCGACAAAACTTCCGTCGACAAAACGCGGTAGTCTAGACGTACCTTTAGAGTTTATGGGGCCCTGTGCACTACTATTAAAATGCTGCCCCTGTGCCTGATGGCAGACCAATGTGCCCGATGTGATTTGAGAGCCTTCTGCAGCACACCAATGAAATATTGTAATGCAGAATTACAGCTAAGATCCTCAAATAGTCTGGTAGCACTTTAAAGACTCACAAAACATATAACTGGTATCATGAGCTTTTATGGGCACAGCCCACTTCTTTAGATGCCAGAGTGTTGGATATCCAGAACTAAAATAAATAGGGGAGAAGAGACAGGAGGGCATGAAAAACATGGATAACAGGAATGTAATCTATGCCACCAAATGCCAGCAATGCCCCACTGCAATATATATTGGACCAACGTCCTACGGGAAAGAATTAATGGACACAAATCAGATATCTGTAAAGGGAACATACAAAAACCTGTTGGGGAACACTTCAGTCTGCCTGGGCATTCATTAGCACGTGGCTGTTTTGTTACAGACCAATTCCACAAGCCAAATACACAGGGAAGGACTGGAACTACAATTCATTCACAAGTTTGATACTCATGCTAAAAGTTTAAATAAAACCCGTTCTTTGTGGCTGTGTCTAGACTGGCAAGTTTTTCGGCAAAAGCAAGTGCTTTTGCGGGAAAACATGCCAGCTGTCTACACTGGCCACTTCACTTTCCGCAAGAACACCGACGATCTCATGAAAGAAATCAGTGCTTCTTGAGGAAATACTATGCTGCTCCAGTTCGGGAAAAAGTCCTTTTGCGCAAAAGCGCGTCTAGATTGGCAAAGATGCTTTTCCACAAAAAGTGCTTTTGTGGAAAAGCGTCCGTGTCAATCTAGACGCTCTTTTCCTCAAATGCTTTTAACGGAAAAACTTTTCCGTTAAAAGCATTTGCGGAAAATCATGCCAGTCTAGATGTAGCCTGTCTGTATAGTATCTGGTGTTAGTTCTCTTCCTCTCTGAGGGTATGTCTACGCTACAGCACTAATTCGAACTAACTTAATTCGAATTAGTTAATTCAAACTCAGCTAATTCGAACTAGTGCATCAAGACCTAAAAACGAATTCAAATTAGCATTTTGCTAATTTGAAATAGCATGTCCACATTGTGTGGACCCTGAACCGAGGTTAAGGCTGGCCGGAAGCAGTGCCGGCAGGGCGTCAGGTTAGGACTTAGAGGGTGGAGCTGCTGTCTCAGGCTAGCCGAGGGCTGTGCTTAAAGGGACCCGACCCCCATCCCGGACAGACAGTTCTCAGGGTTTCCCGCTTGCTTGTCTAACTTGATGAGGGACAGCAAAGCAGTCCTGGCTTGGAGTGCCCTGAGTGCCCGCACTCGGTACATCACAGCACTCGGCCATCAGCCCGGCTGCACTTGCCACAGGCTGCCACCCAGGGAGGCCAATCGGGGGGCTGTCAGGATCCAGGAGGCCCTGTGGGAGAGCTTCCACCCCGAGGAGCCTGCAGAGTCACCCCCGTCCT